ATCAATTAATAAGAAATTGTCCTTTATAGTACACTTACTCACACGCGGTAGAGCCTGTTGCAGCTATATTAATACCATAGTTATAGCACGAATGGGTCGGCTCGACCGGAGAAGGACCACGCTCTCACAGATTACCAGCGTAAAGTAGCAGCTTAACGCTGCTGTGTTTCGTATGGTGAGTGTAGAGATCTGGAGACCCTTTTCACAGGAAAAGAGGCATTCAATTTTAGTCCTCACGGGTGACAACGCATCTGCATTTTGATTCTTTATTGATGATAGATGTAGATAGGTAGATGTAGGAGAGCGACCACTTACCATCAGGTTGACTGTGTGCTCGTTTGTCACCCTAACCTATAAAAAATCGTGCACGCGGGAGCCGTGGTAGCTTAGATGGTTAGCGCTCGCTGTAAACTTTACAGTACTTGAGCAACCCGGGTTCGATCACCGCCGGCAACAATGAAATTGTTAATTGAAATTTTAAGTGCTGATTTACCACGTGCTCGGCGGTGAAGGTAAATATCGTCAGGAAACCTGTATGTCTGAGAAAAAAGAGAAAAATTATTTCGAAGACATGTGAAGTTCGCCAACACGCATTGGGGCAGCGCGGCGGACATTTCCTTGCCCTAAAACCCTCTTAGAAATGGGAGGAGACCTGTGCCCAGCTGTGGGACGTATACTTAGACTATAATTTTTTTTTTACGTTAACTACAATTCTTCACAATATGTTTATGCATTACATTGCAAAGTTTTTGAGAGATGCTGATTGTAGCTTGACCTAGCAAACAGTTGATGGCGATAGTATTTCAAGGCTAAATATGTTAAAATGAAGTGATGTTACTTAGTTTGAAGAGCACCTCTCGACTTCCCTCAATGGTGCCCACTACCCCCGTCACCATGAATCCCAGCACCACTACTCCCAACAGTTATACTAGGAAAGAAGCTTCACAAGACATCCTCAGGTGAAGTGGACTGCGGTGGCTAACCGATAATACCTTGTGTAGTGGTATTAGGAAGACGCTGCTGCCTATCTCCTGATTTGTTTCCCTTTACTGCCTCTTATGACACCCACGGGATGATATGGGGTAGTCGATATGTTTACACCGCCAGTACACGGTATAATAGTGATAGAAAGCCAAATGTTTTTTTTTTATAGGATAAGGGTGACAAACGAGCACACAGTCCACCTGGTGGTAAGTGGTTACTGAGGCCCATAGACATCTACATCTAGCTATTACAAATCAAAATGTAGATGCATTGTCACCCGGGAGGACTAAGATAGAATGCCTCATTTCCAGTAAAAAGGGCCTCCGGCCACCTGCACTCACCAAGCGAAACGCAGAGGTAAACCTCTACTTCACGCTGGTTTTCTGTGAGGTCGTGGAACCACCCCGGTTCGAGTCGGCCCATCCGTGCGACAGCAAAAGCTGCCGCGTGGCTCTACCACTGTTAAAAAATGTTGTTTGTTACTTTTAAAAAGTAAATTACGACGTTACATTATAATATCAATGTTCTCAGTTGATTGGTAGGAACCGATTTCTTGCGAAGTATTCACCGTCGGCAATCACGAACGTAATGATCGGATTCACGAAGAAATTCAATTTGGAACGTTGAAAGAAATGTGATATTAAATTTTTCATTATCGTCTCGGCGAAAAGAGAGCGGCCATTAATTTTGGAATTTGCCAGTAATCTGAATACGTAAGTGATTTCAGTGCCAGTGAATTTCGTTTACGGTCTATTTGGAATTATTTGTCGCTGAGATTTGCTTTAGCTAATGTTTTTTTTTAAATAGAATACGGGTGACAGACGAGCACACAGTCCACCTGATGGTAAGTGGATGTTGTGGCCCATAGACATCTATATTCATCCTTGATTAAGAACCAAAATGCAGATTAGTTGCCATTGAGGACTAAGATGAAATGCCTCTTTTACAGTAAAAAGGGTCACCGGTTCTCTCTACACTCACCATACGAAACGCAGCAGCATTAAGCTGCTATTTTCGCTGCTACTCTGTGAGAGCGGGGTTCTACCCCGTTCGAGTCAATCCACTCGTGCTACCCCATAGTATAGATGCAGCGTGGTTCTACCACGATCAAAGTTCCAAAAAGAAAAAAAAAATATCACTCCACTTCTAACAAATAATAAACTTCCCCCGCTATGAAATCTGTCATATTATATTTCACCTGATTCTTAACTGGGGCCGCCCTGGTGGCAATAACAGTCGTGGACAAAGAGTAAATAATCTTTACGTTTTAGTTGTGGGCATCCACGCATGTTAAGTTTATGTTTATATTATATTGTTCATAAGTTTAAGTTTGTATATTAAGTAAACTGTAATCCACTTTTAACTCTCAGTATCTATGTTTTTATTATCTACGCTTTTAACTGTACATTAATATACAAAACACACATGTATATCTATTACACAAAATATGAAAATAAACGCATTTTTGCCTTAACATACACGTCACAGACCGTAAAGGAACATTTGAAATCGCACAAAATTCACAACTCATTCAGTCAATGTGTCAGTAATTATTTTGTTGGCAACATTTTAAAACTCTTTGGCGACAATTTCTACTCTGTGCAACTGTTTGATTAATGTTTTATTTTATTTTATATTTATATATCTCTTTAAATAACAAAATAAATTTTTGTTCGTTAGTCTCTGATTGAGTGGGTCCGTGGATGGTTTAGATTCACAGTTGGAGCCGCTAGACGGAGCTGTTGTCAAGAAAGATAAAGATCTAGAAATCACCCGTGCGAAGCTGGGGCGGATCACTAGTTATATATAAATATAAATTTTAGCTTTCCACACCTTCTCCAAATAAACTTTAACCAAGCCAAATTTCATTCTCTCCCGTGCGAAAGTTTTCCATTTACATATTAATATATAAATTATTTCTCAAAGTATATTGAAATTTAATAATAATTGTGGAAATCCAATATACTACACCTACACTATCTAATACCGAATATCCAATAACATCTCGTTAGGGCGCTGCAAATTGATCACAACTTTGCTTCCAATTTCTCTGTGTTCTATTTCGAATTGGGTCGTACCTACTCTGTTAAGTTCAAGCCTCCAGTAGGCATCAATTACATTGAACACGAACGTATGTTGGAGTTAATCGAGTTATATACAGATAACAAAGGAACTGTTGAACTGTCAATGGAGTGTACTTGATCCTCCAGTAACACTCGTACGTTATAATATGGACATTTGACCTTTGAGAAAATTACAGATGCTTAAATTTTTATCTATATATATATATATATATATATATATATATATATATATATATATAGATATATTAAAGTTGGCAAAAAATTACTTCGCGTACATCCACTCGATAAAATAAAATGATGTGTCTTACCTAGTTTGAAGAGCACCTCTCGCCCTCCCTCAATTGCGTGCACTATCACCGTCACCATGACGGTAACCCCATATAATCTTTATTTATAAAAATTACGTGTCACATTGTTTGTCCGCGATGAACTCCTAAACTACTAAACTGATTGCAATGAAATTTTGCACACTGTGTGCAGTTTGGTCTAACTTGAGAGATAGGATAGTTTTTAGCCCGAAAAGTGACCCTCAGTATTTTGATATAAGAAACCTCAATATCGTTTTTGAAGACCTATCCGTAGATGATACCCCACATGTATGAGTTTGATGGAAAATAAGTTTTTGAGTTTCAGTTCTAAGTATGGGGAACCCCCAAAATTTATTGTTTTTTCTATTTTTGTGTGAAAATCTTAATGTGGTTCACAGAATACATCTACTTACCAAGTTTCAACAGCACAGTTCTTAGTTTCGGAAAAATGTGGCTGTGACATACGGACGGACAGACAGACAGACAGACATGACGAATCCATAAGGGTTCCGTTTTTTGCCACTTGGCTACGGAACCCTAAAAATGCCTTCGGTTCTCTACACTATAGAGACCATACGAATCAAAGCAGCATTGAGCTGCTAATTTACGCTGGTATTCTGTGAGCAGGTGGTCCTTACCTAAGCCGACCTAGTTGTGATGCTACCGTAATATAGCTGCAGACTCTACCACATTAAAATATTTCCTAGAGGCTGAGGTAATTCATTATATTAAAAATGTGAAAGTTAGCTAGGATCCGCGTAAGAAACAAAATGGTAATTTTCACACCTTGAATAAGTGATCACTATGCAAAACCGTATTTGTAAGAAATCGAAACTTTTTTATCTACACTACAAAGGCAGTATCATTTATTTTAAGAATTTTGCACCAATAATGAAGAAGACGAATATAATGGCCCTAAATCGAACAGGTATTTTAGCTTAAAGTCATAAATATAATCTCAAAAAAGCCAGCAGTGGCACAGGCGGCAGTTAAGCGGCCACCTTTTTATAAGTCAGCGCTTGAATGCTATCCAACCTAATTGTTAGTGGTGAATTATTATGCTTTGAGGACATTCACATTGTAATTGCATAGAAAGATGGATGCTGACAAATTATGGAATAATTGGAACGGAATAAATTCTTTATGTACGCATTAAGAACAACGAAGTAAACTGTTTTTTTTTCAATCCACCGAGCGTCTGGTTAAATTTTGACAAGTATTGATAAAAATTACACGATCTATTTACTATTTACTAATAAGCATGCCGGTACAGATTATTAAAAATCCGCTGCTAAACATAGGCCTCTCAAAAATTGCCTCATAGAAGGTATATTTGCGATAACCGTGCACGCGGGTTGGCAACACCGCCAATTTTTTTTATTGTCATTACGAAGACGCTGCTGCCCATCTTCTGTATTGTTTCTCTGTGTCGTCTCTTACGAAATCCACGGAACGATAATATGGGTTTTGGGCAGTGAATATTCTTTCATCGTCAATACACGTTATCCGTAGGTACTGCGGTAGCAAGCAGCTTGCTTCTAGGTAGGGATTTATAAAAATAAATTGTAATAGTATATAATATATTTGATTTTATTAAATGCGATTACCGCATACATTTAGAAAATCATCGTCCATACACATACAGAGGAGCTCGATCTCTTAATTGCAGTTTAGCCGTATATTTCATATTCTGAATGTCGTTCTCTGTCAGAAACTCCACTTTCTGCAATTGTCCGTTAGGGAGGAGGACGTAGTACGTACCGACACTTTTCTGCACTTCGACGGGGCCCTCCAGCTTCTCTACTTCTAATTTCTCAGTTGTGTCAGTAACAGGCGCGTCTGTTGTCGGTACTCCGTACGAGCTATCAGGTGCACCATAAACGTTCTCTGGTACTCCGTAGCTCGATGCTGGAGGTGATTGTTCTTGCGGTAGTAAGAATGGTTGTCCAGCCGGCTTCCAACCTGAAGGCGGGTAAGGCCCACTTACTAATGGAGCACCGTAGGTATCCACCGGGGCCTTCTCGTTGGGCAATGTAAACGGTTCTCCGGAGGATTTCCATCCAGATGGTGGATACGGGCCTCCAGAATTAGTAGTGGATTCCGCTGGTGAGTCCGTCGTTGTTGGAGCTATTTCAAACCGCTGAAACCTGAAGTTAGCAGGTTTGAAGCCTGGGAGTTGTCTCAAGTTGCCAGCTGGTCTGCGACGTGGCGGTTCACCGAGCGCTCCAACGAATAAACAGAAGAGGACCAGTAACTTCATTTTCGATTGTTTGTCGAATGATTACAATCTTATTAGTGCTAACTTATATATACGCATCGGAAAGTTTATAGTTCTTTGTTGATCATAAATGGTGTCTATAGAAGGCTGTTCGTGAGGGTAATGCATTAATTAGTAAGTAACTGCGTGTACATAATGTCCTCGTCAGATATTTCGTAACGATCATTTGAGTACTAGATTCATTTTATTGTCTATCACGAGCCAATGCTCTATAATACTTATACTTTATACAGCCTTTCAAAAGTCACCGGCTGAACAAAGGCCTCCCTACGGATGATAATAACGCCTGGGAATGAGGTGACCGTTACCAAGCTATTTCTAATTTGTTTTGTGGTGTTAATTATTGTGTAACATACATGATTGTAAGCTGTTATTTTTAAAAACAAAAAGTCAGACAAGACAGAGGTTTTTTTTTCACCAGTGGGTAATTAATCAAAAGAGTGACTTTCAATAAGTATTATTTATAATCTATTTTGAATAAAAAGTTTCTATTTCTGTTTTTGTTCATATAGATATATTTCATAGCTGTCACGCTTGAAAGGCGCGTTTGTAACCGCAGTTTATTTTTATTTTTTGGTTGTTATTAGGCAAAACACTGCTGTCCATCTCCTGATTTGTTTACCGAAGTCATCTCTTACGTCGCCCACGGACCGATATGGTTTTGCGGATACTCTTACACTAACCATTCATACTTTTCATTTTGGCTCTCATAATTTCTGCCGGACTTGTTTTTTGAAACAGACTCTAGGTTAAGCTTGAGACTATTTATAAAAAAAAAAAAAACTTTTTGTTAAAAACGGCGGTGTACAATTATCCAATACACTGGTGTTGTGTGAGGAGGAGAGCGTGGTCCTTGCCCGGTTGAGCTGGCCCATTTGTACTACAACTAATATAGCTGCAGTGTGGCTCTACTTAAAACGGTCAATGACTTTCGAAACTTTTATATAAGTTACACACTTTTGCTTTAGTTTCGTCAACGTAAGCGTAGGTTTGGATAATATTATGCCAAGCGTCCCAAATAACTCTCAACGGGTCGACTTTGTCTATTTTAATAATATAACCATTGGTTTTTTTTAATACCATTACACCGTTGGTTACTTAAAATTATAAACAATATGTGCTTTTGTTTCGTACGAAAGAGCAATGGCAGAAAAATAGTTGAGAAAAATTATAGCGTCTAGAAATAAGTTATATATAAAATGAGTTTTATTATTTTTCTATGATTTTTCAAATAAAAATGTATTTTAACTAAAGCTACAGAAAAAAAAAACTAACATTTTTGGGAATATCAAATGACTTAAATCATTTTACTTCAAATGTTGCCATTTAGTATATTCATACTATTTTCGTATACACTTTGTAACACTACCAACACAACACACAAAATATTTTTATATTAAGTTATTATTAGTAATAACTGTACTATCATTAATAATAATAATAAAAGTGATATGGCTGAGAATAAGTCTCTTACAAAGAATTTCCTACAATAATACATCATCTCAATCATAGTACTATGTAACAATTCCATTTAATGTTATGCCAACACTATCTAAAATTAAATATCACTGTTTTTTTTACTGGCTTTACGGCCCTGGGTTCTAGCCCTTCTGAGAATGTCACTATGATACAAAAGCCCTGGAGCCATGCCAGAAATATACATTCATAGTATGCAAATATATAATAGAGATACAATAACCTAAAAACTCTTACTTATCTTTTATCACTTATTGAAACTTTAATATAGGTTGTTACGCATACGTTTATGGTTTTGTTACAGAGCAATGGTATAAATAATTAATAATAATAACACATTATTTTAATATTATTATTATAATATTATATTTATATATTATTTATACAGCCCAACCAGATAATAATACTATTTAAATACTACACATTATTATTAAAAACATTAATAGCTTTTTTTTCTTCTTTTGCTTGACTTGTCGCTTTGCAAACGGCCTGAAAGATTTCAAAACATTTGGAATTAAATACACACTGTATGGTTTACTTGTAATTACGCATACTTAATAAGTCAGTTATATATAGTAAAGTGGAGTACAAGTGAAAGAACTTAGTAGTAACCAAATGTATTAAACTGAAGTTAAAACTAGGTATAAAGTTACCAAAATTAAGTTAGGCTTAAGCCGTGGTAGCTGAGGGCCTAAGCGCTCGTTGTAAATTTCACAGTACGCGAGCTACCCGGGTTCGATCCCGGCCGGCACCAATGAAATTGTTAATTGCAATTTAATGTGCTGATTTGCCGACGAGCTGTGAAAAGAAACGTCGTGAAGAAACCTGCATGTTGAGAAATAAAATAAAAATATTTCGACGACATGTTGTGAAATTGGTCAAAACGCAATGGGGCAGCGCGGCGGACATTTTCTTGCCCTAAAACTCTCTCAGAAATGAGAGGAGGCCTGTGCTCAGCGGTGGGACGTATATAAGCTGTAACTTTAACTTTGAATTCTAAGTTAGGCTTCTTTCCCTTGATGGTAATACACAGCTCGTTCGTGAGTGTTTAACGCAAGTGGCCCAAACAGGACGCGTGTAAGGAAAAATGTAAAGTTGTTAGACCTAGTAATTGTTGTCTATTTGTTTTTTTTTTAAAAACGTTATCCCCACACTAGGATTTTCTCCTGTATCGTGGAGGCAGTTTACAAACACAAATTGCACAAGGACAAACACCCAGACCCGGAACAATTATTTGTAGGCCATACAAATAGTTGTTCCGTACGGGATTCGAACCCGCGCCCCCCAGCGCAGCAACTCATTGCTAAGCCACTGCGCCACGGAGCCGTCGTATTCTATTTCACGATGAACTTTTGACTTTGGTTGTTGTTAACCGTGCACATACACATTGTGTTAGTGTGCGTATGCCTAACACAAAGTGACACATTGTGTTTATGTGTGTGTGCACGGCTCACAACAACCAAAGTCAAAACCTCATCGTTAAATAGAATAACTATTCACGTATTTAGTGCATATTAGATATGTGCGTGGTTGATTCACGTTGCAGCTTTGTTATGGTTGTAGTACGAATGGCTCTGCTGACCGGGTTAGGACCACGCTCTCACAGAATACGAGCGTGAAATAGCAGCTGAACGCTGCTGTGTTTCGTATGGTCAGTGCAGAGAATCGGAAAACATTTTTACTGGAAATGAGGCATTCCATCGTAGTTCTCAGACGTAGCCAGGCATTTGCTTTCTGATTTTTAATCGACGATATATGTAGGGGCCACAGTACCTACTTTCCATCTAGTTAGGAGGACGGCAACGCATCTGCAATTCCCCTGGTTCCCCTGGTGTTGCGGTTGTTCATGGGTGGCGGTAGTCCCTTACCATCAGGTGAGCCGTATGCTCGTTTGCCCCTTCTCCTATAAAAAAAAGTGGACTTTATGCACGATTGTCACCCTTATCCTACAAAAATAGGCGATGATTATGAAGATATATCGTTCAATATAACTTACGATAGGCAGCAAGACCCTCGAAATAGTTGTCCTTAACGATCCAGAAATTAATGATCCACTGTACCACGCCCCTACAGCTTGCGTAGGCCATGAGCACGGCGATCCAAGACGTATCTTCGGGCAGTTTGGTTGCGTGGAATGATGTTACGTGCCAGCGATATGTCTTTGTGACAAAGCCCATGTAGCCGTCACCAGTCGTGATGTAGTCGAAAATTTGCTCTGGAGGAAATTGATTTTTTTATAGGATAAGGGTAACAAACGAGCACACAATCCAAATGATGGTTAAAAATGGAAATGCGTGCACCCCTAAGGACTACGACGGAATGCCTCGTTTCCAGTAAAAATGGTCTCCGTTTCTCTACACTCTTTTGACGTGGTAGAGCCATGCTGCAGCTATATTACTGGTATAGTTGTAGCACGAATGGGACGGTTCGACTGGGGAAGGACCACGCTCTCATAGAATACCAGCATAAAATAGCAGCTTAATGCTGCTGTGTTGCGTATGGTGAGTGTAGACAACCGGAGACCCTTTTTACTGGAAAAGAGGCATTCCATCTTAGTCCTCACGGGTGACAACGCATCTGCACTTTGATTCGTAATCGAGGATAGATGTAGATGTCTATGGGCCACAGCGACCACTTACCATCAAGTGGATTGTGTGCTTGTTTGTCACCCTTATCCTATAAAAAAATTGGTAAAAGTAAAATTTTTATTTAATCTATTATAAGTCAGAATATGACTGCAATTTTTTTATTTAATTATTCATGTTAATTACAAATTATTCATGATGTTAAGAAAAAAATTTAGCAATTAACAAGATCGAAGTAATAAGATAAATGATGAGTCTTACATAGATTGCTCGGCTCAGGAGAGCCGTTGTAGCTCAAGAAAGCCATGGTTGAGCTACCATGGCTTTCTTGAGCTACAACGGGGCTAAGCACTCGCTTTAATTTCATAGTACGCGAGCAACCCGGGTACGATCCCTATCGGCACCAAAGAAATTGTTAATTGCAATTTTAGGATTTGATTTTCCTGATTTTCAACGTGCTCAGTGGTGAAGAAAAAAATACAGTGGCCCAAAGACATCTTCATTTATTCTCAATTAAGAATCAAAATGCAGATGCGTCACACCTGAGGACTGAGATGGAATGCCTCGTTTCTAATAAATAAGGGTCTCCGGTTCTCTACAATTACCATACGAAACACAGCAGCATTAATCTGCTAGTTTACGCTGGTATTCTGTGAGAGCGTGGTCTTCCGTGCTCTCACAGAATACCAGCCGGCCCATTCGTGCTACAACTATATATTATAGTTGTAGCACGAATATTAAATATTGTATTATTATGATTTTAACGTGGTAGTGCCATGCTGCAGTTATATTATGGCTCGACCATAATATAGCTGCAGCAAGGCACTACCACGTTAAAACTGAATGTCTGAGAAATAAGAAAATAAAAATACTTCAAAGACATGTAAAGTTCGACATCACGCATTGTCTAAAACCTTTTCAGAAATGAAAGGCAGCCTGAGGCCAGCGGTGGGACGTATATAGGCTGTACTCATTTTATTTTATAACGTAAATCTTAGACAATAAATTTTTTATCATCTTTAATATATTGGATTTCCGAAAACAAACGCCTCATTCCGTTAATTATACAAATTGTTATTACGAGGGAGCGTAGTAAGCCTCAGTAGACAAGCCCGTATTGAGTCTGATCGATACCTACCGTTTACTTTGTTAAAAAGAAATGTAGTTAGAAATGAAATTAGTTCTTTTAAACTGTGCCCACAATAGAAGTTTTATATTATTTATTTATTTACTTAAACTTCATACAATATGATGTTTAGGCGGACAGGCATTCTCTACTAGTCAACCTTTAGGTGATGCAGAGATAAAAATATGAAGTAGGTGTGTGAAAAGCTAAAAGAAAAGAATATAAATTAAATTATATAAATATAAAACAATATAATACATATACCCTTACATAAAGTTACAAATCAAAATTATTTAATATATGCATAGTTTATATATATCTTATGTACATTATATAATTATATATTTATATAAATACATAAATAAAGACTACAAATGAGATGATTCTGCCAGGTTATTTAAGTAATGTTCGCGAACTTTCTTCTTGAATGCATAACGATTATTAGCCATTCTAATTTCAAGAGGGAGTGCGTTCCAGAGAAGAACAGTCTGTACAGTGAAGGAAGAATGTAGGAAGCCAGATTTATGAGAGGGATACTTTAGTATAAGGTTGTTCGAAGAACGCAGGTTTCTGTCGTGGCTAGAGCAAAGGTACTGAAAATGAGACGTTAAGTAAAAGGGGGGAGTAGGAGACATCAGAATGGAGTATAGGGTTGTGAGTGCGCGCACACTTCGTCGCTGACGAATGAGAAGCCACTTAAGTTGGGAACGATAATTAGACACATGGTCATACTTACGAAGATTAAAAATGAATCGAATGCAGTTATTAAGAAGACGATCATATTTGTCAAGAAGATCTGCATTCAGGTCAAAATAACACACATCACCGTAATCAATCAGGAGATGAATTAAGGATTGCACAATTAATATTTTGGTCCCGGATGGAAGGAAGTTTTTCAGGCGTTAAAGAGCCTGCAAGGTACCAGTGACTTTCTGGCTAACAATTGTAACTTGGGCATGCCAGCTCAAAGTGGAGTCAATGTTTAAGCCAAGATCCTTAACCGAAGAACATAATCTCAAAACAGCACTGTTGAAAAGGATCCCGGGAAGAGCCGTAGTGTCTTCTTTTTTAATTGTGCGATGGCTACCTAGTATTATTGCTTGACACTTGGATGGATTAACACTTAAACCCAACCTATCAGACCAACTATTAATATGCTGTAGGTCCTTGTTGACCATATCCACCGCGACGGACACACAATCAACATTCGCCTGTGCGTACAACTGTAGGTCATCGGCATATAGATGATACGCACACTGAAGGTTGTGGGTGATAAGATTAATAAATACTGAAAATAACAATGGAGACAGAATACCGCCTTGAGGGACACCAGCATTTATGTCACACCAGCTTGATGCAGACTCACCAATGCGGACCAACTGCTGACGTCCCCGAAGATAAGTTGAAAACCAATCCAGTATTTCAGAAGAAATCATGGAATGGGAAATGATAGAAAGTAGGATGTCATGACTGACGGTATTGAAGGCGTTCGAAAAGTTAACCAAAGCCAGTACAGTGACATTGGTGTCCTCTGGTGGTGATAACTGAAAGAATATGGTCAAGGATATAAATGATCATACGGCGGCTATGGATATCGCAACCCACAGCCTTTGACTTAATGGAAAGGATTATCTTTTTAATTTCATCCGAAGTAACTGGAGAAAAATGGAAGGGATCGATATTTAGACAAGGTAAGGCATTTAAATAATCAACAGTGTGACACTTGGTTTGGTGATCCAGAGTAGTATGAGAAACAAAATGACTGTTAATATCATCCAAACCAAGTGTCCTCTGAAACTCAAAACGAGACCATTTACCGATTCCGAGAGTCCTAAGTAATTTCCAAAATATCGCTAGAGGAAGAGGAAATTATGTTATGAAGAATATATCGGCGTTTAGCGTTGCGTATCACCTGATTACACCGATTCCTAGCAGCTTTATAGAGGTTCTATCTCTCATCACTCCGCTCTCTTCTAAAACGTTGAAAAGCCCGGTCTCCACTACTCATGGCTATGCGAACACCTCGCGTCATCTATGGAGCAGGTGGTCGCTTGACTTTCAACCTCTTAACTTGTGCATGTACATGTAATCATAAAGTTTGTGAATATTATCATTACGCGCAGCGACTTTCTCGTCCACAGTAGGGGCGCCTACCACTTTCGTTCGCAAGCCCATTAATTTTCTTTCGGTTTATAATTTGCAATTGGGTCCCGCCTGCCACTAAGCTTAATTTGGATTTTTAACTAACCGAAGTAGAGTTTACTTTGATAATAATTTATTTCAATTTTGTTTTCTATTCTCAATCTTGTTTCGCCCGTATTAGTGCAATACTTTTAAATTGTGTTTTTGATTTTTTTAATTATTTATTTTATTTAAGACTTTTTAGTGTCCCGACACACTCTTATGAACTAAATTCAATAGCACGATATCCGACACAAACATGGCCCATTTTACGTTTTTACCGTTTTTTTCAAAAACTTTAAACCAATTGATTGATCCTGATTAAATTCAAACATATAACTTATACATATTTTTGCAATTGCCTTTTAGTTTTCTTTATTCTGGAACACTATTCGATAGATTTGGTTATTTTTTTTTAAATTAACGTATTGTTATTTTGCGTCAAAATTTTGCCATTTTTTTTTCGAAAACTGTCTAAGAACACTTGGATATATGAGCCGAATTAAACGATATCTTAATTTTCGAAATCCATCCAGGCGTTTGGATGATACGAAGTAATAAAGAAATTTACAAACATACAAGATACGCGCGAAAAACATAACCCTTCATGGGCAGTCGGGTGAAAAGCGCGGGATACGAACTGTCACACATAATGATAAGTGATGGTGAAGCCAAAAACGGCAGGTAGAGCACACTGGCTTAGCCATTATACGCCCCACGACTGGATAAAGGCCTTCCTCATTTCTAAGAAGGTTAAGGAGCAATGGGCCATGTAGTGGTGTTGTAAGAATATCCAATAACGCATATCATCCCGTGGGTGTCGTAAAAGGCGACAGAGGGAAACAAATCAGGAGCTGGGCAGTACCGTCTTACTAATAAAGACTAAAAATAAAGAAATGTTGTTTTGCCTCCTCGCTTGCCAAGCGTGGCAAGTATAGCAAATATCCACCCAATGAGGTAATCTACAGAGGAGGCCCACGTTCAGCAGTGGACTTTTATGGGCTGTAATAGATGGATGTATAGATGGATGTATAGAAGATAATCTACCAGGAGTACATGACCCGCTAAGAGGTGAAATTATTAAATCAACGGAAACATTACAACTATGGCAAATATATATGTGGGAGGCCTATATTCAGCAGTGGACTTTTATGGGCTGTAATAGATGGATGAATGGAAATGAGCAATTCATCTGCCGCGTTGCTATTGTGCGTGTTCACAGGTTTTCGAAATATTTTTATTCCCCAGACATTCAGATTTCCTCACGATATTTGCATCACTCAACGCAGTAAATCAACATTTTAAAAATGAAATTAATCATTTATATTTTGCCGGCTGGGGTCGAACTACTTTTACGTGGTAGAACCATGCTGCAGCTGTATTTTGGTTGCAGCACGAATTAGTCGGATCGCAGAAGAAGGATCACGCTCTCACAGAATATCAGCGTAAAATAGCAGCTTAATGCTGCTGTGCTTCGTGTGGTAAGTGTAGAGAACTGGAGACCCTTTTTACTGGAAACGACGCATTCCATCTCAGTCGTTAGATTTGATTCTTAATTGAGGATAAATGTAGATATCTATGGACCACAGAATTCACTTACCATCAGGTGAACTGTGTGCTTGTTTGTCACCCTTATTTAATAAAAAAAAACCGGGCTGTTCGCGTATTACGAAATTTACGACAAGCGCGTGGCCCTAAAACTAGCACGGCTTTTTTGGTGGAATTGTTTAATTTTTTTATCGTAAACAAACCCCTTCTCCCTACTTCCATTATAAGAGAGGGGTTCTCTCCTTAAGATAATACTGTAGTTTCAGTCCTTGACACGCGGACAGTAACTACCTACAGTATTATTTTATCTTATAAAAAACCATAGTAGCGTTTATCTCGCTCTTTTACATATGATATATACGAGATGGATATAGAATTTTCTATGAATTATAACATCGTCCCAAAATTTTACACGGATTCGAGATGACAAGGTACAGTACGAAAATAAAGAGTAAAAAAAACAGGCGTCTCATTTCTGCGAAGACTATTTAGCAAGAAAGGCTACCATGCTGTAGAAATTGGTGGTTTTCACAGAAAATTGACTGGCTATCACGATGTTTTGCTTAAACATGGATTATGTTTTAAGACATATATAATTATTATAAATAGTTGGCAAAACCATTGGTGCCAGCATTTGTATTCAGCTTGAAGTTACACATTAAGCACTCTTAAATATAACGTTGCCTTTCCATCTGAACTAACCCGGATTATCTCTCGTCACCATTATCATCATTACAACTCTTCACCAGTCAACTGCTAAACTTGTGCCTCCCCTAAGGAATGCCACAAAACATTTTTTGAATTGTCTATACATGCAATATTTGATGTGCAAATATTTAATGACCATAATTTGTAACATACTTGTAGACTATTTTCAGATACTTATGATTCTCCACAATAAAATTATCTTCATTGTACACCAAGGAAAGATTAATATACGAAAATAACCAACGTGGTAGAGGCATGTTGCCGTAGAATGTGGTCATTAGAAGCTTTATAAATTTTTAATAATTTAATCCCAAAACTATTATATTTCCATTTATTGAAGCATCTTACATACGTATATAAGAAATGAAGAAACACCAACCCGGAACAATTATTTATAAGCGATAGTGACACTTGTTACGTACGAGACAAACGCAAACCACTGCGCTGAGAGTAGACAAAAGGATGATGACCTATTTAGTATTTTCCAATATACTCTTTATTATTGATTTATTCAATACATTAATGCCTATATCACTCCATACCAGTTTAAAGACTCGCTTCAATTACAGTTACAGATTATGCGGGTCCACAAACACACTCCTGCCTCACCGTTTACGTACATCGAGTATATTGTTCTTGGTTTACATCTGAACGCCTAGCTAACTAAACAAAGAGCCCATCATTCGATGAAGTGCGTGTGCCTAATTGGAAACATATTGCCTGAATGCTGTTTGATTTTGTATACCTAGAATGCGCGTTTGTGGTTAATGTACGGTGGATACAAATATAGAATTGGCAATGGAGTTTACATTGTACCAATATGCCTGATATTATTCATGTATTTAAGATTATTTAAGTTTTTTTGCACAGAATAGTACACAGTAAGTACATAATAGTGCGGACTTGTGGTATGTATACCGCGTAGTGGCAGGGTAAAAATACATCTATAAATACATCTATCATATAAAAATATATCATACTAGCCTACATCGTCCTGTGCGAATCGTGAGATGCGACAGAGGGTAATAAGCCATGAGCGTTTTTCTAATAACATTTGGAAAATAAAAAAAACTGTGGTTGCCCAACCCGCATTTTAGGTCTTGGGGAAGTCTTTATTTAATAGTGAGCTTTGATAGGATGTAATGATGATGAAAATGATGGTGGCGGACTTGATACCTAAACGCATTCACCCGAAATCAGCCATTAGGTATATATATATATATATATATATATATATATATATATATATATATATATATATATATATATATGTAAAATGAAACTTGTGATTTTTCTGAGCTGCTGATGTAGCACTTGCAACACTGTACTACAATGTTGTACATGTGTAAATTTCTTACAGAAATCTTACTTTGGTGATATTTTCCTAACAAAAGCATTTTATGCTTACTTGGAGTGGTTAACTGAAGTATTAGTAGGGTAGTATTAATAGGGATTGATTCACAATTGAGGAAGTTATTTTTTTATAGGACAAGGGTGACAAACGAGCACACAGTCCAACTGATGGTAAGTGGTTGCTGAGGCCCATAGACATCTACATCTATCCTCGTTTGTGAATCAAAATCCAGATGCGTTCTCAGCATTGAGGACTAAGATGGAATGCCTCATTTCCAGTAAAAAGGATCTCCGGTTCTCTACACTCACCATACAAAACACAGCAGTGTGGTCCTTCGTCGGTTGACCCGACCTATTCGTGCTACAATTTACTACTAATATAGCTGCAGCATGGTTCGTAACCACGTAAAAATTTACCACGTAAAGTATTGCGTAACATACACACACACAAACATAAAGTGGAATTATCAATTTATTTCTTATTTGAAGTTAGCTAAAATGTGGCTTACGCCACTGATATTTTATGCTAGAATTCTCTAAGTACTGCTCTTCTCTTATCAAGCCGAAGCTAGTACAGACTGGATACATAGATAGCGTTTCTGGGAAATTTTGCATGGTAGAGCCACGCTGCAGCTATATACCTAATAGTTGTTTCAAGAATGGGTCAGCTCGACCGAGCAAAGACCACGCTCTCACAGAATACCATCATGAAATACTCGTAACAGCTCATTTCTGCTGTATTTCGTATGGTGAGCGTAAAGCCGTAGACCTTTTTTACTGGTAACGAAACATTACATTTCAATTCTCAAGGGGGACAATGCATGTGCATTTTGATTCTTAATCGAAGATAGATGTAGATGTCTCTGAGCCATACCATCAGGTGGACTGTGTGCTCGTTTGTCAACCTTATTCTATGAAAAAGGCGTTTTAAATGTAATTAATAAACATCTCACCCTCGGTGGAAGTTTTTGAAAGGTCTCGTATAAAGATTACAGTGTGCACGACATCGACCACCAGCATGATCAGCCCGGTACACGTGAACGGTAACAGGGCCACGTAGAACCCGCACGGACGGTTCTGGGTCAAGTTCGCTAAGGCCAGCAGAAACCACAGCACGTGCAGCGTAAGCCATATTTGAATCTTACTGTAAATTAAATTGAAATAGAACAAAAGAGAATAGAATATTTTTATATTGAATAAATGTAATTGAAAAAATATATGGACTGCCATCCGTTGGTCCGTGCATCGGTGAGTCTTTTCGCTTAATAGATATGTAAGCAATACATTGAGGTATAAAGTATCAAATATGATTCCATATATTCTAAGGAGGATCCCTATTTATTTTTGTTATTGAACTCAACACCGTTTAAAAGTTATTAATGAAGGTCGATCAGATTCCCTGTTATTTTATTTTAATTTTTAACTTAATAAGCGTGTGAGGCGAGCACTTTTAGATTTCCTAAATATTGTAAAAATAGATTACAAAATCCAAAAGTGCACGCCTCATGAGCTATTCATTTAATTTTGATTAAAAAAAATATATTCCTGACTTTTAAACATATTATTTACGTATATTAGCCTTCAGCAGTGGACTTTAGACCGTGGAGCGATTAGACCACGCAACTCCAGTGCGCGTTGCGCAAACTTCACACATTCTTGGAATATTTTATTCCTTAGACTTATAGTCGTCTTCACGATTTTCCTTCACCGTTGAGCAAGCGGTAAATCAGGTACGTAAATACCAGGGGAATTGAAGATGGTTTGCCGGTCTTTTAAAAAGGAGTAGGCTCTTTTCTGGAAGATCCCTAAGTCATATTGGTCCGGAAAAATCGCTGGTGGTAATCGATTCCACAAAGAAGTCGTGCGAGGAAGAAAATACCTTCTAAATCGCACAGTGGTGGACCGCCAATCAACCAGATGGTATGGATGGTTTCGCGAGGTTTGTCGCAATGTGCGATGGTGAAATTGAGCGGCTGGAATTAGTCCGAACAATTCCTCAGAGCACTCCCCGTGGTAGATGCGATAAAATATGCAAAAAGATGCAACACCTCTACCCGTACCAGTGAGTCAAGTCGATCGGAAAAGACTCGGTCCGCTCTGCGCTCGATGCGGTCAAGTTGAAGGAGCTGGCACTGGGGAGCCCCTGCCCAGAGATGGGAACAGTATTCCATGTGGGCCGAACCTGCGCCTTGTAAAGTTGCAGGCGGTGTGCCGGGATGAAATACTGTCCCGCTCTGCTGAGCTTTTTAGAGGCTAATTTGGCCTTCTCTTCCAAGTGACCACGAAATTGCACGGCACTCGATATGTCGACTCCGAGGATTCCGATACTGACTGAGGCAACAAGGGGAGTGCCTTGAAACTGAGAAGATACGACAAAGGGGTTCTTTTTAGTGGTAAACGTAAAAACCTTGTGTCTTCTGATTAAACTGGACTAAATTTAGTCGCCCCCAATCCGAGACTTTGTTCAGCAAAAACTCGACTTCAGACAGAAGTTTGTTCCAGCACTCGGCGACGTTTACCCGAGATATATTGGTACGGCCGGTGTATAAAGCATCACCAGTGCTGTCATCCGCATAGCAATGAATGTTACTAGTTAGCAACATATCATTGATATGCAGAAGAAACAGCGTTGGTGATAGCACACAGCCTTGCGGAACACCAGCATTAATAGGCTTGTAATCGGAGCATGCACCGTCTACAACGACCTTGATGCTCCGATCTGCAAGAAAGCTGGTGATCTAATTGCATAATTTCTCGGGAAGCCCATAGGAAGGGAGCTTCGAAAGAAGCGCTTTGTGCCAAACCCGATCGAAGGCCTTCGAAATGTCCAAACTAACGGCCAACGCCTCCCCTTTGGACTCTACTGCCTCCGTCCATCTATGAGTCAGGTAGACCAGAAGAACACCCGATGATCGACCCCGACGAAAACCGTATTGGCGGTCACTAACCAGCTGGTGATCCTCAAGGTACCGCATGAGCTGGCAGTTAATAATAGATTCCATTATTTTGGAAAACAAGGAGGTGATGGCGATAGGCCTGTAGTTGGACTGGTCTGAGCGGTCGCCTTTTTTAGGGATCGGGTGGACAGAAGCTATCTTCCATGATTTCGAGACTATGCCTAGGGAGTAGGAGTACCGGAAAAGACGCGTTAGAACCGGTGCCAACTCCGGAGTACACGTCTTCAGCACAATTGGGGGTATTCCGTCAGGCCCACTCGACTTGTGGTTCAACAATTCCTTCCAACACTTCCTGCATGGAGCACTCACACCGCGGGATGATCGGCGGTGTGTTCCCCCCGTCATCGAGAGTCGAGTTGGAAGCAAAAAGAGAGCCTAGCAGATCGGTTTTCTCCTTTACGGTATGGGCCAGTGAGTCGATGTCGATGTCAGAGAAGACAGAGATGGCTGACGGAAGTTCCCTTGGACAGCCTTGGCAAGTGAAATGAATGCACGTGTTCCTGAAGGGAGGCGAACTAGTTTCTCACCAATTCCGCTGATGTGCTCTGACTTTGCATTGGCAATGACTTTTGAAGGTTATGGAGGCAGAATTATACTTCTTTTTAAGAGCGCTGGCTGTCAGCTCAGGCCCTGTAGCACTCCTGCTTATAGCGTGATGCAATTTTACAGGAGTGGCCAAGCCATGGCTGAGTTCTGCCTCTGATAGGTACCACAGATGGTGGAATAAATAATTATATTCCCTAAAGTACCTCATCAGCAACAGAATCAGCAACAACGTTGGGATCATCCGGCCAGAATCTAACTCGCCCACAAGGGTAGGATGCAAAAAAAGACCGCATCCCGTCCCAATCGGCCGACCTATAGTGCCAAACACGACGGCAAGCTGCAGATCGTAACTGCGATGGGAGCGTTAGTGGCACCGTACTCCGCAGGCCGTCGAGAGGAGCAGCCAAGAGGGGCTTAAACGGAGACCTGATATCAGCCCGTACGAGAGGTCAGCAGAAGGTCCAACAGGGAAGTTACATGATCCTACACATCTGGAATCCGCTTAGGCAAAGTAACCAGTTGTGTCACATCATATGCCAAGGCAAAGGGCCGGCAACGCATCTGCAATTCCCCTGGTTCCCCTGGTGTTGCGGTTGTTCATGGGAGGCGGTAGTCACTTACCATCAGGTGAGCCGCATGTTCGTTTCCACCTTCTCCTATATAAAAAAAGTCATAAACAGATTTGTCGCATGATCGGTTAAACGAGAACCACGTCATTCAGCGTGGTGAACGTTAAAATCACAGAGCATCACGATCTCTGCGGATGGGACCTGTTGTAGCACGGAGTCTGCCGCCTTTGGACGTGGTCAATGAGTCGGTCTGTGTCGGCATTGCCGCTATTGGACCTATAGAAGCACGCGGGGATGGTCGTCATTATCTACGCGCAGCCAAAGGATGCACAGGTCCGTACCTTCAAGACTGCTGAGACGTCGAAAACAGATGTGCTCTCTAACGTACACACTAACTCCAGCCCGGGGCACAAAGGAGGTTTCTAATTTGAAACGCGGGTAGAGATACGAAGTATCAGCCGGAGAGGACACCTCTAACCGAGACAGGTTAGAAAGAGCAAGGCCGGTTTTGCCGTCTCTAGGTGGTAGTGGACGGCATTAAGGTTTGAATGACTACCCTGATATTGCAGAAATTCACGGAAAGCATGGCAGGGATTGCGTTTGTCTTATTGAGCGGAATTTCGACGTCCCCCCCACCCCCTCACAATACGGGGGGTAGCTTGAGCACCCACGCTCAGAAAAATATAACCGTGGGTTAATCAATATCGATCATTCTTTTTTTTATTTAAAAGCAGGTGCTCCTCATGTAGTCTCATATAAATTTGATCAAAGTCTGACCAATAATTTTTGAGTTATTCTTAATAACTTATATTGAGGTCGGTTGTACAAATTTTTGAGATTAGCCAGAACAGACAGACAGACAGACGGAAAGACAGACATGCAGACAGACGGACAGACAGACAAAATGTTTAAAAATTGTCTTTTTGTTATAAGTACCGTATATAATTTCACATGTATTTTGTAAAAAAACTGTTATTTAGGTGTTCGAGCCTAGAGGCTTGATCCACCTTGAGACTACGCATGTACATTCTGACGTTATTACAGCGTGAAGTTAGCTCTTTTTGATAGTAGCGCCCTCTGTCGCAAGTGTGAAGTGTATCAACTTCACTCTAATGGAGGGGACTCATTCAGCGCGGGCGGTGTATTGGTCAGTACGCTTTTGCATTCTGACAAGTCAACACGTATACAAAAGCTGATATTTTTCTCTAGGTAAGTAATATTTTCAACAATCAGTTGACTACAACTATATATAGTCAACTATAATAATACAACATTTTGTCGTAAAGAAAGTCGTAGTGCGCCCTTGAGCCACGAGATGCAGTGCGCCCTTGTGCCACGTGCGTGGGTTGACGACTAACCTCAAATCAAATACCGTGCGTCGTAGTACCACGGTACGACGTCGTATCACTGATACGTTAGACAAACGAAACATCAATTCGATTAATGTCATACGACCGTAATACGACACCCGATACGTCGTATCATCTTCGATACGACAAACCCGAAACGTAGTTGATTCGACACTAGTCTCATACGACAACCGGCTGGTACGACATAAGCCGCATAAAATTGATACGACAATGATACGACCTATACAAGTCAATGAGCTATTCTGACTTAATTCATCTCATTGCAGAAATATGGACGCAACCGCTTCCTGCTCGAAGACAATGACGATGGGCGAATTGTCAAGCCTTGTACCAGAAGGAGACGAACGGCGTTTTAAAACAGTCTTAGAGCTCGTACGAAAATACTACCCTCCAGGTTGGGAAAAATGGGAAATCCAAAATTACTCATTCGAAAACCTTTTTGGAGGCAGCATGTCACCAGAAATCGAAAAGAAAATCCGATTTGCGCTACCTACAGTGGAACTTATTCAAGCGATCTACCCTAATTCGCCAAATGCTTCGGAAAGATCATTCAGAGACTTGAAGCGCCGCCTTTTAAACTGGTCTTTTGGCCGCGCGTTACTATATTCGCCACATAATATTATGGAAAAAATCCATTATAAGTCTCACAACGCTTTCATGGACACAGTCGTAAAATTGAAACCTCTTATACTCTCGAGGCAA